GCAATGCAGCATGTTTGGTATTCAAAAATTGCTGTCTCTATGTCTTTTGCTCTCTTTCACTAGGTCTAATTTCCCCATCTTTTTTATTCTCATTTGCACTCTCAGAGGAAACGCCGAGCACAGAGAAGCAGATGTGTACAGCATGCAGCAGCACCTGTGATGGGGAAGTTTTCAGACGCAACTCTAAAGTGATTTTTTTTTTTTGTTGCCTCCTTAGGGCATGACGTTCACCGAGCTCTTTTTCATATAGCCCACAGGAAATCACAGCGGCAGATGTGGAAATCATTTCAGCGCCTGACACTTCATCTTCACAGCACGCTGAATGGGGCGGCACTCCATCACTCACTCCTCTCTTGTACAGTCGTGACGTGGCTATTTAAACCATGCGGAAAATTTGGCACACGCAAGGCTGTTTGCTTTGACGTTTACAGTTCTGCTTACAACCGAGAATGCCAGTGTGTGTGTGTATGTGTGAGGACATGAATGTCTGTCTGTGCCATGTTAAAGTACAAATGAAATCAAAACTAACCATATTGATCTATATGTTAACTCACATTGCTAGTTTTGTGGTGAACAGTTCATCTGTGAATGTCATTAGTAGGTTCACACGGAATCTGCGCGCTCAGAATTCCGCAGATTTTCGGCAGATTTCCACAGATTTTAAGCCTATCATTAGTTCTATTTATTTACTTGAGTAAATGTGTGTAAATGTATATTTATTTAGTTTTTAAATTCATTACAGTACTATATTATTGACTAATATAAAAATGTTCATGTGCAATACAGTTTGTGCGGTAATATTTTCTGTCTTTTAGTAGAGATATTATAGGAGACGCTTGCTTTGTTTACCAAATAAAGTGGATCTAATTGAATTGGCATTTTAAACATTAAATAAAAAGATATTATTTTTTTATTTCACATAATAAGGGTTTAGTTATGATACTCCCAAAATAATTCTGCAGAAATCTGCAGATTTTAATCAAAATTCTCCGCAGAAATTTCAAAAAATGTCCGCAGATTCCGTCTGGCCCTAGTCACTAAGGAAAAAAAGGTTTGCACTTGTAATCTAAAACCATCAAACCATCAAAGCAAAGAATCACCAAGAGGCGACACTCTAGTGCGATTTGGGAAACAGCCACTAGATGGCGCAGCAGCTATTTTGGAATAAAAATTCCAATAGAACTACAGCATGTTATAAGTCTGTAAAATAAACTATTAAAAGTGCTGATGATTGTGATAGTAAGTGTTGTATTGTTGTCTTTCAGGTTGTGTCTCAGCTTTAATGCACTTTTTAAATAAATAAATAAAAAACAAAGCAGCTGCTTGCCATCGTCTGGCTTCCATACAAGGACCAAACATGGATCATATCTGGGCCAAATCTCAGCCAAGTTAATAACCCATAACTGGGCCTGAATTGGGCCAGAAATGTTGGTGCGTCACGACTGCAATGAAATTGATAAACTCATGAAGCATTTCACTTTTTGCGAATATGGGCGTGCTTTTTCTCGAATCGACCTGATTGGTAGAATTTTTTTCTTTACTTTATAAATAATTTAATTGTATTTTAGAAGTGCGTCAGGATAGGTCAAATTTACGTGGCCCACATATAAGTTTTTAACATCTGGGCCAAATAGCAAATTTGTAATATGACATAGGTCCTGTGTGCCGCCTTAAAGTCGGTGCCATCTCGGATAAGCCTGGGCCATTTTTGGTCCACATGCTGTCTGCCAGTGCCGGATGAATACCTGCTGCCCCAGCTTTATGCCAAATCTGGGCCAGAATTCTTTGCAACCTGGGATTAAATGGACAGCCGATCGCTTTCACTCCAAAAGGGTGGAATCTGGGGCTGTTGCTGGACGCTGCTGTTGCAGTGGAACTCTGAGTGTCGCCTCTTGGTGATTCTGAGCTCTTTGCTAAAACTGAAATCTGAAAATGCACTTCCTGTTTGTTTTCAATTTAATTCTCAGATTACATCTGTCTGAGGTATTGGGCGGGGCTAACATAATTAACCACACCCCTTCAACTGTTAGTTTTGACAACACACAGAAATGGTGAGGAGGACGTGCCTGTTAGGTTGTAATATCTCTTCTAAAACCTATTTCCCAATATTTCTGAATGAAATGTCTACTACATCCAATTAGCTTGCAGTAGAAAAAACAAGCCACGCCCACGGTTTCTCATTTACTATTCCATTTCTCTAGAAACTGCATCACAATATAAACAACAACAAAAAGTCACAGCTTCCAGTTCATACGAACTTTAAAGGGATAGTTCACCCAAAAAATTCATTCTTTCATTATCTCCCTTCAAAATTGTTTGTTTCTTCTATTGAACACTAAAGAAGATACTTTGAAGAAAGCAGTAACTGGTAACCAGTAGCTCTGTTTCCATCCAAAGATTAGCAAATTAGACTGGAAAATTTCATAAATCAATTACGAATAATGAGCTGCTCACATATCGCGTCTTTTGTATGCACAAGTTTATCTATCCAATGCAAATAGGAAGCAATGTGTATGTGTATCTATCCAATGCAAATAGGAAGCAATGTTTATGTGTATGTTTTTTTTAGGTGCACCTAGCTAAAAACATCTGTGACAAGAACTAACCAATCAGCTTCCTACTTCTAATTACCTGAGACAAACACAGTGCACCCAAACACTGCATTGCTTTTTAATTTTCTACATAAATAAAACTTTAATGAGAGCTGCAGCGATGGTTTGTCAGTTTGTCATCCTCTGAGAGAATGGTTGATAGTTGCCTAGCAATAACAGATGCCACAAGAGAGCAAATCTGCTGAAATTGGTGAAGAAAGCAATATGCCTTGGGCTTTCCACATGCTTTTAGACGTGATATGCGAATGGCCCCGACAGCACTGTTTCCATTTAATAACTCAAAGAGAACAAAATCATAACTGGCTGATAAACTGGCACCAAATATCAAAAAGAAAAAGTGGAATTTGCTGGTTAGGAGAAGCCACCTTGGGCCTTGATTCCTATATAATGAATTATTTGTGCCTCAGAAATCAAAGTGGAGAAGCGCAGAACACACAGTGGCTTTTGGAGGAGTAAGATGCTCTTTTGAGTGCAGATGCTCAAGACAGTTCTGGAGGTAATAACACTGAACCAATTTGATGATGGACTTTGGCTGAGAGATTTAAAAACGACCAAAACAAAAACAACAAACAACAAAAATCTGTTCAAGGCACTCGAAAAATGTGAAAATTTTAAAAAGCCTTTATTCACATGGCTAATCCTTAATAAAACCTACACGTAGGTTAAAGTGCTACACTGACCACATCAACCTATTTTGAGGAAAACTGAAAAAAAAAAATCTCCCTCTAAAGAAATTTGTAGTAAACATAATTCTAGCATTAAGATGTTTATTTTTTGTACTATTTATATATTGATACAATTGTTATTACATACATCAAAAAGAGAAGCCTATTGAATAGAAATATTTTCCAAGGTATTGAATTTATAAATTCCAGTATCTTGACAACACTACACCTTAGTTAATCACTGTCCAAATGAACATGTTTGTAGCTTTGTATCACATTGGATAACAACTCACACTATAAAATAAATCATATTTTCACATTTGAAGACATGCAGAAAACTACATTTTCAGAAATTGCAAATCAGGAGGAGATAGGAGGCTCAAGGGGTATGATATGACTCATAACAGACTAGTAAATGAGAAGTTGGTTAATTTATCAATGTTTTTTTCCTTTTTGGTGTTACAAGTCACAAAGCTTCAAAATTTATTGTTAAAAGACTGCTACTCAAATCTCTTCATTTATTATTAAACCATTTATAATCTTATTAAGATTAGAGTAGATCACTTTTTGAAAGAGTGGGTATTTTACTTCTTTGGGGCTCAGCCCCTTATCCCCTTCGACGCCCCTAGTGGTCGCTCCACTGGTTTGTCCATTATTGTCATGCCATCGGGCTCTATTATCACAAAATCTGTTAAAATCACATGTTTGTTTTTTTTTTTTGATGCCCGCACTGGAATTTATTAAGTAAACGTGGTTCCATCGTAGTTTATTCACATTTTATCTTATCAGATAAAAAAGTTTATCCCACACAGTTGTGCAAATAAGTTTTTATGCACAATTTCTTTTTTGAGATTTATTTTTGGCCTTTTAATTAGATAGGACAGTAATGAGACAGGAAGCGAAGTGAGAGAGAGAGAGAGAGAGAGAGAGAGAGAGGGGTAGGATTGGGAAATGTCTTTGAGCCGAGATTCAAACTCGGGACGCCCTGACGTGCTACTGCACTATATGTTGGCATGCTAACCATTAGGCTATTGCGCCAACTATGAACAATCTCAAAGGGTTTGTGCATCGTAGAGTTTTCATTAAGCAATTTTAAAGCAATATTCTAAAACAGAAATAGGTATCCATAGTATTAGTTTTTCCTAGCTTGGTAGTCAATAATAAAGGGACTAAGCCAAAAAGAAAATGAATAAATGAAATGAATGGAAGTCGATAATTACACATTTAATTTTAATTTATAATTAATGTAATTTAATAAATGCAAACATCAGTTCATTTCAATATGTCTTCTTTTGTGTTAAACAGAAAAAAGAAACACATAAAGGAATGGAAACGCTTGAGGTTAGTGCGTAAACGTTCATTTTTGGGTGAACTGTCCCTAAAAGGCAGGGGTGTCATCCTGGAGGGCCGGTGTCATGGAGAGTTTAGTTCCATCCCTAATCAAACACACCTGAACCAGCTAAGCAAGCTCTCACTAGGTATACTAGAAGATCTCCAGGCAGGTGTTTTGGAGCTAAAGTCAGCAGGACACCGGTCCTCCAGGATCGACTTTGGACACCCCTGCTTCAAGGTGCAAATGCTGAAATGTGAATTACTCTATTTTAAGTAATGACATGCTAAGAAACTTGTAGGGTCATTAAAGTTTATGTTGCTTCATGAAACTGCATGAGTCATGATCATATGTCTACATAAATGCACATCTAAATGTGTGTGAAATACATACGATCTGTTTCTCGTTGAGGTTTCCGCTGCTGTAGGTGGTGGCGAGAGTGGAGGAACAGGCCTCGCTGTACCATGGCACGCTGCCGTACTGTGTGGTGCTGCTGATGGAGAGCGTGTAGATGCTGTTGGTGTATCCATCACAGTTGCAGCTGTCCCGCTCTCGCCCTCCATTACCCGATGCCCAAACGAAGATGGATCCAAGCCCAGATCGACCCTAGAACACATGAGCACATCACTGGTCATTTACTACGGCTAATGTATGCTTCATTAATAGAAGAGTTAGTAGTCTTTTGTAGATTGACAGCAGACGGTCTCATTGTAGCTTTCATTGGCTAATGACAAGCCAGGGTTGCCAACTCTGTTTATAAAAACTTACTGCTGCTAAAACCTAACTCAAAATTAGACCAGTTTTGGTCCTCCAGAGCTGAAACTGGGATGTGAAATGTACAATAACAGACCAGCAAGTGATACAGAAATAATCCATTTTACAATGTCTTGAGTGGTGAAGAGTCTAATCTGTGAACTTCACACTCTTTTGCAAATCCAATGTTTTGTTAATCCTGATGAGTGCTCATTGTCAAAGTTGTAATCACCACAGCTTTGTTTCCAGATGGACCGCTAAACAGAACAACACACATCTCATGGCAATATTTTGCATAGAATTCAACCATTGAAATGACTTAAAAATCCCTGAGCGTTTCCCATCTTGCATGCCTTATGATTCAGATATTCAGCCATTGGTCAGTGGACATGACACATGAGGCAAAAATGTTAAAGGTGCAGTATGTCAGTTTGACACCCAGTGGTTGGACTAGGCATTTCACGCCTAGTTAAAAACACACAAAAGCACAGGTAGCCAGATTGACAACACCAACAGCAGTGTGCCTGACTGTCGAACCTAAATGCTGATTTAAACCGTGACCTAAATAAAAGCAACGGCACACAATAGAAGGAATATTTCCCATATTTAAAAGAGTTTTTGTTGTAATCAACCCCTTGAGTTGATATATCATAGAAATGGCTTCTATTTATTTCAGATGAACAACAGAAAACCATGATAATGATCACCTCAGATACATCTCATGTGCTTTATTCAGTGCTAAATGCTAATAATGTGAGTTTAAATGCGATTTTACATGTCATTTATAACCATACAACTGAAAGCAGCAGCAGATAGTTCACCTCAGATAATTATTATTGAAAATAATAATAAACCATTTAAAATTGAACTTTAGAACTGTGACTGAGGTCAAGCCAACACACATCAGGGATTCAGCATGTGCATTTAATAATGTTAAAGCAATGTATTATGTATTATTTAGATTATAAACCTTACCATTTTAGTTGGAGTGCATTGAGTGCACACATTCTGTGCTTCTGAATGGCTGTATTTAAATTTCTGTCAAATTGTTTATCACTGCAAATCTCATCACGTAGTGTGTTGTTAGGACACTGGGTTACAATCTAACCTGCTCACCTAATGTTTACGTTCATAATATATTCTAATTACAGTTTTTCTCAGTCGCTTTGGTGCATTTCTCACTACACTATTTACATTTGAACAACAGTTAATGCATTTCTCAAAACAATTAGTGCAAACTGCAAAACCTAGCTGATTACCTGCAAAAGCGCGTCACATGCTCAAAATGGATAGTTCATTCCTCAAAAGCAAGTATTCATGTCAATCAAACTGTCAGTATCGTCAAAATGAAAAGTCCTGACACCATTGTTTATGAACAAGATAGTCAAATGGCTTAGTCATGTTTTCATTATGACAGTTTACTCTACATTTTTTCAATGCAAAAAAAGTCAGATTTTGGTGACACTTCCTGAAAATGCTTGAGATAGAACTATATACTATTTGCACAGCCAACTGAAAACTACAGTAAAGTGAGACATCACTGCATTGAGTGAGTTATCTGAGTACAAAACACTAAATATGTGTGTTTCACATTTTTACTGCATTTGCTCTTTGCAATCCTAATTTACTCACGGCATTGTGCAAAAGAATAAACACACCCTTATTTACAACAAACATAAACTCCCTTTAGGTAGAGCTGTGCACAACTGTACACAATACTGCAGTACATATTGGAACTGAGCCTATAACATACACAGGTCTGTAAATCATTCATCAAATTGTTTAATTTTAAAGACATTTTCAGGAAAATAACGATTTAAATTTGTTTTATAAAATTTGTTTGACAGATTTTGACAGCTAGTTCACCATTTTTTTAATGTAATGACTCAAGTAATGAAATGAGGATTATTAGTTTTATATGGAATGACTATTCAGCATTTACAAGTTTAGTTCATTTTGACTGACATGACAAAAGCTAATTATAATGTAATAAATAGCAGAGAGTTGTATGAAAGCAATTGATGCTTGTCCAAAAGCATTCACAATTTGTTGAAAAGAATGAGAAACTGCTACTAGGATGTGCCCAAATGACTTATTGTTTTGAGAAATGCAATAACTGTTGTGCAAATGTAAATAGTGTAGTGAGAAATGCACCAAAGCGACTGAGAAAAACTGTAATAACCAACTCATGTGGAACTCCGAATCTGCGTCTTATTGCGGAGTCTGCTACTGTCCACCAGAGGTCGCATTTCAGTCACGGACGCATACTTTGCGAGCCTTTCCGACTGAATGATTGAAATATGCTGTTTTCCACAAAGGCAATCTGGAGTGCTGAAACATAATTGGCTAAACTGGTATTGGGCGGGTTTAAAGGGACCAAAACAAAGACAGACGTTCTGGAATGTAGCGCACATTTCCAAAGCAGAATATCTCAGCATTGTTTTTCAGATAAACAAGAATCTTCACTTGGCATTTTTCTTAAATATCTGCAAACATATTATGGTATTTATATGCTTTAGAAAAGCCAAAAACGTTTATACAGCACCTTTAAGATTTGCTGCGTTTGTGTTTTAAAGACTTGTATGCTCATCAAGAATCCAATTATTGCATTGATAAACTATAACCTTAATATTGTGAAATGTTGGAAAAACTATGCCTTCCAAAATAACATTATAAATGTCTTCAATGTCACTTTTAATCAAATTACTGTGTTCTTGTTGAATAATAGTCTATCTAAATGTATTCATAGTTTCATCCTACAGTCTGTTCATATAATTGCTAATTAAAAATCAGCAGTTCCACTATAAAAGGCCGGCCTTTTAATGCTCAATGCACAGGTTTTTACTACTTGTTTACAACTTACCGGGCTGATTGAAACATTCTGAGTTAGAAGTAATCACAGGACTTGCGAGGTCTGCGGCGTCAGATCTTTACAACATATAAGTAGGCGATTCTTGGCTCAAATAGGATGCTGAGAGTCTTTATGCAAATCAAATGTCTGGCTATGTGAGACAAACGTATTTATGAATCAAACATCTGCGCAGTGCCTATTAATGTCTGTGCGCAAGCCTCGTCTCTATTACAATAGCCCACAAAAATCCAATTGAACAAGCCAATTAGGGCTGTCATGATTAATTTAAAACCAATACTGTGACCCATGAAATCTGCTGTATTTAATGCCTTCGCAATATTGGCTGGACAGCTGACAAAGCGCCACTCTTCTTTTCTCATATATTAGTCTCCTTTCCAGTCAAGCAAGCCGGCAGAATTTGATTAAAGTCTCTGTTCCATCTTCTCCGGTCCATATGGGTAATATTCACAGCTGACTGACTCTGGATTATTGTGGCCATAAAAGATTTGTTTGTTTGTTTGTTTGTGATGCTGCAATCTGCTTCAAAAATATATTCAGAGGCGCGATAGTAGAAAAGGCAAAATTGGGGATTAAAACAACTGACGTGCTTCAACTGATACAAGAAGCAAGAGTCGCACCGCTGAGGCAGATGTTTATGTGGGGCGTAATTTGAGTAAATTACTAGAGGGAGAAATCAGTTTTAAATCCCACCAAATTAACAGCAGTCAAACTCCTCCTGCGGCTGCAGCAAAAGTGCCATTATTCACGCAGACGAGCCGAAAGATTAAATCTTTTTGTAGCTCTCTGATAAAAGCTTGTCTGTGATTACCAAGGACACGTTCGGGATGAAACAGAAGCGGATATCGCGACAGGTATTCGTCCTAAAAAGGTTAGATCTTTCGCCTGTAAAACACGACATGCTCTCTTTCTGGCTGTGACAAATCTCATCATTTGTTCAGCATGAGGCAAAAGCAGGTGGTCTGGATTTAATTCCATTACGGATATTTTGCTAAATTACTCTGAAGACAACGCAAGCTTCCTAAAAGGCTGTCAGAATGTCAACACACTTTGTTGAATTTACATTGATGCTGTCATGATGATACATATAAGAGCAATTCCATACAAATGTCAACTTTGCCAAGTAAAAATTAAGTTTTCACCACAATAGTGAACACTTTTTAAGGTTTCTTGAGTAGGTTTGTATTTTATATCACTGAATAAATACTCAAAAATGTCTCTGTCATTGTTTACAAACAGTTATATTTAATTTACTAAATTTCACATCTGTCACATCCATAACGGAGAGGTGTCACATCCATAAAAAAGCTTTTTCCTTATAAACGTAACAATTTAAAATAAAATACAGTCCAGGTACCAATCCGTGGATGGGTTGGTACCGGACCGCACAAAAAAATCATACATTTTTTCTGTTTTATTTATTATCTGAGTCTGATTGATCTTTTAGTTAAAAAAATCTTTTATTTATTTTCTCCTGACTATATCTTGTTAACTTGAGCGTCAAAATGTAACCTACAAGCAACAAAATGAGTAAGAAACAGACATCTATTGAAAGTTTCTTTGCGTAGGGGAGAAGGCCCAGTGAAGGACCCACGAACTGCCAAGGAATGGATCAACCCATTTGTCATGCTGAATCCAGCATGTCTGTGAACGAAGAAGATCAACTGCTGGAGATCGCAATAGATGGCGACCTAAGGGGCCATTCAAATATCACGTTTATTCTGCATGTAAGTTTGTTTTTTCCAATGGAGGCGCGGCGCTTGTGCACACATATTAGGAGGGACATGCATAAGCGCTCGTGCCATCAGGTGTACCAATTTGAAAACATCGTTTTTCCACTTGACAAGAACTGACCAAGCGGCTTAATACTTTCCATGTAATACACACATTTTGGAAGACTATTTACTTCAGACAAACACAGAACACCCAAACACTGCAGTGGTTTTTCAATTTTCTTCACAAATAAAACTTGTACCAGAGTTAC